TATCAGTGTTGCAATGTAACTTGCTTTAATTTTGAAAAAAAAAATGGTTTAGAAATAGCAAGGTGCTACTTGTACTTATAGCCCTATAACTTAAAAAAAAAAAAAAAAAGTTAAGAACATGTTAACATTGGGCATTTCTAAACTCTGGACAAAATTTAGAAACTACTTAGCATGGGTGTTTTTTGGCGGTTGTAGATGCGTAAAAGATTTGGTGGGTCAAAGTTAGAAAAAGTGTGTTTTTTCAATGTTTTTATCATATTTTATAAATGTTTTTACAGTAAATTATATGATATGATGAAAATATTAATATCTTTAGAAAGACCATTTAATGGCGAGAAAAACAGTATATAATATGTGTGGGTACAGTAAATGAGTAAGAGGAAAATTACAGATAAACACAAACACAGCAGAAATGTAAAAAGAGCCCTGGTCCTTAACGGTAAGAAAATTTAAAAACAGTCTGGTCACGAAGGGGTTAAAAGCCAACATTTAGTAATTTGCTGGTCTGGAGCATTCAGGTGTGTGTTAGCACATTGCCAAAGAGGAAAGGCATCAGCAATGATCTTAGAGAAGCAATTGTTGCTGCCTGTCAAACTAGGAAACGTTATAAGACATAAGATAAGTTAAAGTTCATCATTTGCTGGGACATCCACCTCTGTGAAAATTGGCAACTTCCTTTAATGTTTTCCACTTTTGAATAATCTTTCTCACTGTAGAATGATGAACTTTAAACTGTTTGGAAATGGCCTTATAACCCTTTCTAGTTTATGGGCGCGCGTGATGTCACGTGATATGAATATATAAAAGACGTGCCATATTAGCAAGCAGCATCTATATTTATACAGGGAAGGAACAGCAAGTATGGGTTTAGGCCCATGAACAGCTCCCTTTCCTGGTTTGCATAGGCCAAAATCCATACTTGCTGTTTCTTCCCTGATATCATGTTTGCCCTTAAATTGACAATGTCATCTAGGTGAACCCATTTGCTAGCTATTTGAATTTGCAGAGATGACGTGGACCACTCAGAAAAGATGTTAGCTTATAAATAGTTAATATGGGACTTTGTTAATAGCCCTATCTTGGTTTCTGCCTTGATACTAGTGCTTATATAATTATCTCTTGATATATTTTGATAGTGACATTGGCTTGTGTTTGACTTAGAGAAATTCTGATATCCTGACCAAGCTTGTTTCTGACCTTGAGTATGTTTGGCTTGTTATTCATTATCTGTTTCTATATTACTGACTTTGGTTATTTCTATATTTGTCTTTATCTTTATTAATGTTAAGTCTGGCCACTCTAAGGACCAGTAAAACGTCTATCTAGTTCCTCTGTTTATAAGATTTGCAATTTCTGTCATTTGGGATATGACCCCGTGACACTGTGCATATTCACTCTGCCATATTATTTTTTTATTTTTTTTATTCTTTATTTTTGTATTGTGCATGGAGTAACAATAGGCTTACTCAGCCACGATAGCAGTCATAAGCAGTAATAGTCATAACAATCAAAACATGGCATATGAATATACGGCACAATTGTTTAAGTTCCGTTGTGAGAAAAAGTAGACAGTGGATAGACATAGTAAGTGACAATTGAGCTTTCCTGTCTATTTATGATGATCTAGGCGTTAAGTCAAATTCTACACATGTAATATATACTAGGCTGGTCATAGATTTAACATTTGTTTATGCTGATAAGGTTAAGTGGTTTAGTGCGTATAAAGTATGTTAAGCAGATTGCATGTGTATTTTCTATGTGTGAGCCAGTGTAGACTGCCTATGAAACACGAATAGAAGGTAAGGTCACCAGGCAAAACCGGCAGATGAGTATGAGAGTAGCAGGTGTCTGGCCATCCAGGAACCCAACCCGCGTGTGTAGCGCAACATTTTACGATATGTGAACAGACTTAGGCATTGTGTAACGCTGTTATTTCTCAAGATTGTGCTGCCCTAATGTTGAGAGTGTGTTGGGGGGCTGGGTGGAGGGAGACCAGCTTGTCCCCAACGCTGTGTTAAAGAGAGAGGGGGGAGTATGTTGGTGATAGCTTTGATAGAATTACACGTGTATTGTGTAGGTTGGTGGCTTAAAATGCTATTATTTTGACTAAGCCTATCAAATCAAATTAAAACAAATTAAAAGGAACAGTAGTTGTCCTTGGCGCTCCGCCATTTAAGTCTCGTATGCAATATAGCTTACAGGTATTTTAGTTGTACCCATTAGGCAAAATCCCTGTGCAGAAAAGTGCTGATGAAGTTAACTTTGCTAGGATGTCCAACATTAAGCAGCTCAGCGCGAGCAGGACAGATTGCGTTGAAAGTCTCAAGAGTCACTTAGCCTACACCGGCTGCTGGTATGAGGTCATCCCTCACATTGATTTTGTGCGTAGGCCATTTGCTCCCGCCATGCTGCTCTGGGTCTTGAGTCTCCTCTACCTGTAGTCGCCTGCATCGCTGAGTGGTGAATGCCTGGAGTCGGTAACTGTGTTTGAGGATACGTCCCCCTCTGTCCTGAGGGCCAAGGGCTGAGCCTGTCTTGAGTTGGTGTCCATGCCGTTGTGGTGCGGTGTGTTTCTTCCCACCTCTCCATTGAGCTGACTTCGGTTGGCCTATACTCCCCACCAGTCCCCGTCGGCTTAACCCCATGGAGGCCCCTCGCTGGTGCTGGCTATGTGCTGGTGTTCGAGTAAGGGGGGAGGGTTTGCCTTCTTCCGCTTGGCCACCCGTGTCGGGACCCGGGGCAGGTCTTTAGGTGAGGACGTTGGCAGTGGAAGTTGCATGCGAGTCTCCCATTGCTCCCAAAAGGCAGCGAAAATTTTGTTTAGCCGACGTTCTGTCTCAAGCCATGCACCTCGTGGGTCGAGGGTAAGGGAGGCATCCGCCATTTTAAGAGTTTCTCCGGCTGGTTGTTCAGAGCCTCGGGTGGAGGCAGAGGTCTCCCTGTTGTGCTCGGGGAGCATGTGGAGGTGGACCGGGATGTCCAAAGTGGGGGGGTGTATGCCCAAGGTTATGGTCGATGCTTGTCTCGGCAGTAGCAGAGCGGCCGCCTCTCCCTTGCCCGCCTTGTTTGTAGGCCTCATGGACATGTCGGGCGTGCATCGCTGGAACCGACTCATCTGAGGTATCGTTTTGTTCCTGTCGATGTTGTCAGTTGCGTGGTGGCCTTCTTGCTTCTTTTTATTGCCGTTTTATAGGCGAAATGTCGCTTTATTTCTCTTGTTTGGCAGGAGCTGTTGAGGCTAGCGTCCTCTCTGCTCTGTGGTTAGGCCACGCCCCCCACTCTCCCATATTATTGCTGTGTGGTTTCCCCAATGTAGCACCCTCTAGGTGTCATTTTTGCTCAGAAATGCTTTAAAACTTGAGACAGGGAAGTTCTCAGGAAAGCTCGTCTTTCCAAAATACTGTTAATCTTATAAAAAATAATAATCACAAGATAATAATTGAATCTGTTATTTTACATTTACAGAACAAGTGAGAAGTTAGCAATTGAGGGAAAACAGGAGGAGCACTAAAAAAAAATGTATGTATATATTATATAATTAATAAATATATTACATAAATATAATTGTTTACTGGCTTTCCTCTTTTTTCCTTTATTTGGTACTTTTCTCACTTGATCTGGGAACCAAATGGTTGGAATATGCTCCAATCAATGTAGTGTAAAGTATATATATTTGATTACATTTATATATGTATATATTTTGCAGCACACTAGTTGGTCCATTTTCATGCCTTGTTAGTTTGTTCTCCTGACTTGAACACACATTTGACCAACTTTGGGCTTTTAGAAAATAATTTATACACTTATGTTGATCCTTGATTGTTTTTTTTTTTGTATGGCTAATCAGTTGTCTATCCTCAGGTGAATCCACTGAGACTTGATCTGGGTGCTGAAATACAACAGGCCTTGAAGAAGAGCCCACATTTCCAAAATATTGAAAGGAACATCTTCTGGGACTAGGCAATGGCATCTGTGGTGATTGTAAAAAGCAAAAGTTGTAGATGCACAAACATTATTTGGAGATAGCCATGAAAAACAAGTGGTAATCAAAAGGTAAATAATGTACAAATCGCGCACCAACAGGAGCACAGTGTGATATATATGTGAATATGAACTGGATACAACCAAAATGATAAACCACATTGTGATAAAGTAGGAGTAGTTATGTAACAAGGCCCTCAGACAATTCGGAGATGCATGACGATAGGTGGTGAAAGCCGCAAGGAAGCCACCGAACCAATTACCCTTCTTTCGACCAATAGAACCCACATCAGCACAAGGAATGTTAGGACCATCTATGAGACAAGCAAGATGAAGCAGGTAGCTGCCGAGATGAAGAAAAACAACCTGATCATACTGGGCATCAGCAAAACCAGATAGACACAAGCAGGACAGAGGAGACCAATGGCAGGATATCTGTTGCTGTACTCCGGGCAGGAAGAGAGTGACTCACCTTCAATCGCAGGGAGAAGGCTTTATGTTGCCCAAGCAAGCACAAAGGGCACTGATTGGATGGGAGGCGCATGGCCCCAGAATCATCACAGCATCCTATAGAACCAAGCAGAAGAAGGTTAAGTTCAACGTCATTCAGAGTTTCGCTCCAACCAATGATTCCGATAAAGAAGAGAAGGACGAGTTTTACAATAGACTGCAGAAAATCGTAGAGACATTCTGAGCCAGAGACATTGCCATCCTTATGGGAAACTTCAACACCAAGAGTGGACCCGACAACACAAGTCATGGGGATACACGGGATGGGAGTGATGAACGATAATGGGGAGAGATTTGCGGAATTGTGTGTGCTCAACAACCTGATCATTGGAGGTAGAATATTTCCTCACAAGTGGATCCACAAAAACAACTAGGTATCACTGGATAGTGTGACAGAGAACCAGATTGACCACATTTGCATTAACAAGAAGTTTAGAAGATCCCTGCAGGACGTTAGAGTTTGAAGAGGAGCAGATGTGGCATCCGACCCCCACCTTGTAGTAGCCAGCATGCAGCTGAAGTTAAAGAAGAACTGGATAGAAACAACACAGTGTAGAGTGAAGTATGATGACAGCCGCCTAAGGATCACCAGCATCAGGGAAAAGTTTGGACTTAAGTTAAAGAACAAGTTTGAGGTGCTACATGAGCTGCATGAGAAAGAGGAAAGCAAAGGTGTACAGGCCAGCTGGCAGACAATAAAAGAGACATTAAGAACAGCCTGTCAAGAAGTGGTCGGAGCAAATAAACATCACCACAAATAATTGATCACAGCTGAGACCTTGGGCTTGATAGAAGAGCGAAAACAGAAGAAGGTGGCAGTAAACAACAGGACTAGGGCAGAAAAAGCCAAAGCCCAAGTGGAATACACAGAAGTCCACAGAGCAGTGAAGAAGAGCATTAGGAAGGACAAGAAAGACTACATAGATGGGCTGGCAGCTGAAGCAGAACAGGCAGCATACAACAGCAACATGAAACAGCTGTACGGCACAGCTAAAAAAACTGTCTGGGAAGTACAGCAAGCCAGAACGACCCATCAAGGACAAGGAGATCTCCCCATCAACAGCGGCAAGCCGACTAGAGAAGAGATCGGGAAGGCAATCACCCTGATGAAGAATGGGAAGGCAGCTGGACTTGATAACATACCAGCAGAGGCCCTGAAAGCAGACCTGAAATCATCAGTGGAGATACTGTATCTGGGAGGAAGAAGAGATATCGACTGACTGTAAGGAGTGTTATCTAATCATGCTTCCAAAGAAAGGTGACCTCAGCAACTGTAACAACTACAGAGGTATCACACTCCTGTCAGTGCCAGGCAAGGTCTTCAACTGGATCCTTCTAGAGTGGATGAAGGACATCGTTGATCCACAACTACGAGATGAACAAGCAAGTTTCCAGCAGAATCGATCATGCATGGGCCAGATTGCAATGCTGCGCATTATAGTCGAGCGGTCCTTGAAGTTGAACTCATCGCTGTACATTAACTTCATCAACTATGAGATGGCGTTTGACATTGTGGATCGAGATATGGAAGCTCCTCCGGCATTACGGCGTCCCAGCAAAGGTGGTCAACCTAATCAAGAGCTCATATGAGGGAATGACCTGAATAGAGTGATCCACGGAGGATAGCTTACCAACAGCTTCCAGGTGAAGACTGGAGTACGACAAGGATGCTTGTGATCCCCGTTCCTCTTTCTCATCACCATCTACTGGATCATGAAGACATCCACCAGCGAAAGCAGAAATGGAATCCAGTGGACCTTGTGGAGTCAACTGGATGACATGGACTTTGCCGACGACCTTGCACTTCTCTCCCACAGCCAGTAGCTCCTCTAAATGTAATATCTGGTCTTTCAGGCAATATGTCACCTAAATCTTTATCTGATATTAGAATGGGCCAGAATTTACTTATTGTACATCCTTATGGTCTTATGTTTAGCATTATAATTAAACACTGATACATCCTTAGGGGAGGGCTGTATACACTAATACATCCTTAGGGTAGGTTTTTACGCACCTACTACTTTTGCTTTTTATGTTCATCTTAGGGATTCATTATATCAGAGCTCCTTGTAGGTTGCTGCATACCCAAGAGGTTTAAATTTTGTTCTTGGTGGTATTACTAATTCAATTTAATTCTTGTTGCGCCATTTTATTCTGCCTGTATTTTTATCTGTGGTGATTGCACTGCTAACAAAACAGGGAAATGGTGGATTGGCGCTTAATACCAAAGGAGAGGCAACTATCCCCAGTGCCTAAAATCACTAAATGGCACTCAGATGCAAAGTGAAATAAATGTATATAAGGGGGTGGAAAGAAATATACAATACTTTGCTGTATACTTAGTATAATGAGTATGACACCTCCTGATCTTCCTATAATAAAGACATAAAAATATGCACAGTATAATACTGTAACACAAGGAAAATTGATCAATTATAGAGGTATTGGATCAATTTGCAGAGCCACACAAAACTGACTCTGACTTTGAAGGCAGATGAATAATAAGCTTATTCTGGCTCTCAGATTTCCAGGTAGGATAACACCTTTCCAGCCCCTTAATAAATTTCAGGATATTCGATGTGGTAAAGAAGGAATAAACTTTACTGGATACAAAATAACACTGGAGTGCTTGTGTTCTTTTTAAATAGGTTTTTTTTCCACTTTAAAAATGGCAAATTTGCTAGTGTCAATTGTGTTCAGGCAATCCAAAAGAAAACATCGAGAACCCAGATGCCGACGTCCAGTCACATGACGCAGAAGTACAATGAAACCGGAAGTGAAGACGGACGCCGACGAACGGCACCAAATGGATATCCAACACAACTATTTAAAAAGAAGAAGACAAGCACCCACTATACACTTTGACAAAGACCCGAAGGTCGAAATGCGTTAGTGTTGTGGACTATTTATTTTAAGTTATTTTGTAGGCTTACTTTTTGTTTCAAGTGTTATTTTGTATCCAGTAAAGATTATTCCTTCTTTGCCACATCGGATATCCTGAAATGTATTAAGGAGCTGCAAAGGAGTTATCCTACGTGGAAATCTGAGAGCCAGAATAAGCGTATTATTCATCTGCCGTCAAAGTCAGAGCAAGAATTGTGTGGCTCTGCCAATTGTGAGTGACTCAATACCTCTTTTTTTTTTAGAAGTGCTGAACCGAAACCGAAGTGCTGAATTGCCCAAGTCCAAAATTGCTGAAGTCCCAAGCTGAACTGAATTTTTTGCCCATGCAGATCCCTAGAAAGTATATACCTTGGAAACAAATTGTTCTGGCAACTGGGATTTAAAAAAAGGAGAAAAAACATCATCTATTAAAGTTGTCCTCTTTTCTGAGTCTGATGGAAATTTTGTGTTTATGAAGACCAATGTTTGTGGGATCAGAAACAAATCCAAGCCTTGTCTTACTTCTTCAACCAGCAACCAGCAACCAGCAACAAGAGACAATCAGGCTAAAAACAGTAAATATGAGAAGAGACAAGAATTCAGTAGCTATCCCTTCAGTAAAGGCAAGCAGGTTTTTCCTCACATGTGCCGTTACAGTGAACTTTGGCCTGTTGCATATCAGATTAAACCCACAAGGGTGGTCAAGTTCCACACAGCTAACAGACTTTCTCTAGAAAGATACCCCAGATTATTGTTTCAGTCTCCTTGGGTCTCGATAGTAAGGTATAGCTATAGAACGCATGTGGTCCATTCCTGAATTACCATTTTAATTCTAGGGGAGACCCTAAGCATATTAATTAATGCAAAAACAGAGAATATGAGAATAGGTATACTGGACAGAATCTCAATGAGGTGAAGACTGAAGTTACTTTCACTGCTTTGAGCAGATTCCTTCACAAGAGGCTGCTCTTCATATGATCACATGTGAATGAGAGGAGTTGATCACATGTGAATGAGCGGAGTTGGAAAAAGATCTTACAACCTCTAAAATGCATGTATAGTATAAATGTATTCCTTAATCAGTGTAGTTATCCATTACCTCACAAAGTGGTCAAATCGCCTTCCTTCTTACAGATTTGTAACCATAGTTTCCCTCTTTAGGTGTAATTGGAAAATGCTGAAAAAACACCTATTATTTTGTGATAATATAAAAATGTAACTAACTTGTGACTCACCTTACCTCAAGAGTGTGGCCTTAAATACTCATATAAAGAAATGGACCATTAAAAAAGTGGCAATCAGACCAGACAGATTTAAAAAAAAAAGAATAATAAATAAATGAAAATTAATTTAAAATATGCAAGTAGCAGATAAATAAAAAGCATGTATAGCAAATGCAACACTCACATGTAATCACCTAAAAAGGCAGCCAACTCAAGTGCAGGAAACAGAAAGTAAACAATTCTAACTGGCATCTAAACATCAAAGGCAACTTCCCAATTGACTGTCCCCACTACTAAGGGAACCAAAACATGATGTCTTTTCAGTAAAGTTCAAATGGTCCCATACCAAATGGGCCAAAACCAACTGGTCGAATATAAGGTAATGTGGTCAGCAAAATGTGGACATTGTTCACAGTATGAATAAACGAGAAAAGGGGGAGAGACTACAGTGTTGGACCAGCCAGCACTGATGTCTCACAAAATGTTACAAAGGTACCTAAGGGCATGAACCCTAAGTATATGTATCAAAGAAAACAAAAATAAAGTGGGATAGGAAGTCCCCCCTCATAAAGTGGGTGGACTCCTACTCCACTCAAAGGTACCTCCTGAGGTAAAAATGAATTAAAGTGGATCTATACCACTTTAATGAATTTTTACCTGAGGAGGTACCTTTGAGTGGAGTAGGAGTCCGCCCATTTTATGAGTGGAGACTTCCCATCCCACTTTATTTTTGTTTTCATTGTTCACACTATTTAATAATATTTGGATATTGAACTAATGGCTCTGAATGGGCCAGAATTTTAAAACAGCAGAAAATTTGGTCCAGATGCTTAAAATCTGTGTACAGATTCTTAAAATTCAGGATTGGATTTTAAAATATTTGCCCACTGACAAATTCTCTAAATATTTGCACATGTGCACTGAATAAAAGCTGATGTAAGAGAGACCAAGATGTAATAGACTTAAAGGGACACTATAGTTGCCAAAATAACTTTAGCTTAATGAAGCAGTTTTGGTGTATAGATCATGCCCCTACAGTGTCACTGCTCAATTCTCTGCCATTTAGGAGTTCAATTAATTTATATTGACATTTTTGAAAGTACGACTTTCCCAATTCCACTTTCTGACAGCCATCTTTGTGCACTTTAGATTGGTTTGACAGTTATCTGAACTGAAGCTGGCAGAAAACCCACATGGGTTTAAATGTGGTGAGCTACCCTCGGAAGCTAGTCTGTGAAATGTTCCAAATTCCATTATGTATGCTTTGCCATACAAAAAAAAAAAATGTCACCGGTCTTAACTTTCAAAAACACTGTTTACTATCAAAATGTGTTTACTAAGGGCGTGGCAAACCGCCAAGCAAGATGGCCGCTTGAATCTTTGCTTCGACATATGGACTCTACAATATCAAGCAATTGAGAAGCTAAAACTTCAGACATTCTCCCTCAACTAACCATGTCTCAAGGCAAACATAGGAAGAACACTTCCAAAGCTGCTAAGCATAAGTTTTTCGACCAAAAACCTGGTCCTGTGTCTATGGCCACACAGGTCGCTCTTCAAGATGGCGGAGGCTCATCCGAAGATAGTAACCCAGCTTTTCATCCGGGGATACTAAGACAGAAGAAAATATTACCAGACAACATCTCCACGAGGCCTTGGATGCCTTATCTACAAAACTGATCCAATCTTTGACATCCACGCTGCGCAAGGACCTGCAGGATCTAGGGGCAAGAACAGCACACACTGAAACCAAGATGGCTGAATATGCGGCATCACATAATGATCTAGCTGCCAATGTACAGCAGCTACAACAACACATTGAAACCTTGGAATAAAAAATGATGAATGCGGATGACCAAGCCAGAAGGTACAATCTCTGTTTAAAAGGGGTTCCAGAAATGGTTCAGCCAGAAGACTTACCTAAATACGTCCGCAGTTTAATGAATACTGTAGCCCCAGACATCTCGGCTTCTCGACCGAGCACACCGTGTCCCACGCCCCAAGCACCTTCCAGACTCGACGCCTTGAGATATCGTGTTATAAGGAAATAATTCTTAAGAGCAGACGTACACGTACATAACTGCCTCTCGAATATGTGACTGTAAAAATATGCGCAGACCTCTCTGCGGCAACTCTTTGAAAACGCAGGACCTACAATCAAGTGACCACGAATCTCAGAGAATATAACGTCAAATACCGCTGTGGATATCCTACCAAACTGTTGGTCATGAGAAATGGGAAGATTACCCCACTACAAATACCCCAGGAAGGCCTGAAGAGTCTACGATCATGGGGCATAAAACTCACACCTACGATAGACGCAAAGACCTCATCCACAAAGTTGTCTCAGGAGTGGACTGTAACTTGAACTGAGCTAAAACTGCCATGGTGGCAACAACCAAATGAGAACTCTCTCTGTTATCAGATACATGCAAGTAATGCAGCTATGACATAGCTCACATTGTTCATTTAGTTTATCTACTAATTGTATTCAGTTTATTTTAAAAAAAATATTATACCTATACTTAGCAAATCTTGCAATTTAGAATGAAAGAACCCGAATGAGTTGCGAAGCAGTTAATCCCCATGCACATGGTTAAATTCTACAGGAAACAGATTATGACACCCCCACTATACTCAGACACTTAGAGTATCATGAATCTCGCCATATATTGAGATCATCCTACCCGCACAAATCTAACACACTCACTGGGAACTAGGGGGTAAAACCACATATGTGCAGAGGTTTCCCTGAGCGGTGGGTGGGGGCTCTTATAACAATAAGGGGAGACCTATTGTCCCCCCCCGGCCCCCACCCCTGAGCGGTGGGTGGGGGCCCTAAAATGAACAATAAGGGGGGACCTACTGCCCCCCCCGGCCCCCACCCCTGAGCAGTGGGTGGGGGCCCTAAAATGAACAATAAGGGGGGGACCTATTGTCCCCCCCCAGCCCCCACCCCTGAGTGGTGGGTGGGGGCCCTAAAATGAACAATAAGGGGGGACCTATTGTCCCCCGCCCCCACCCCTGCGCGGCGGGTGGGGGCCATATTGATAATGAGGGGGGGACCTACTGCCCCCCCGGCCCCCACCCCTGGGCGGCGGGTAGGGGCCCTAACTAAATTTCCCCCCCCCCAAGGTGACTAGGGGTCCCCAAGCCCCTAGTCACCCACCCACCCCCAAATAAAAAGTTCCTACCTACCCCCCTCACCCTAAAAAATAGTGAGGGGGGAATAAAATAACTAACCTGTAAAATAAAAGTAAACTTACCATTCAACGTCTTCTTTTTTCTCAAATCTTCTTTTTTCAGCCCCAAAAAAGGCCAAATAAAAAACCATCATAACCGTCGAATTGAAAATAAAATAAAAATCCTGAGCGCAAAAAAAAAACCTGACGAAAAAGAAAAAACCCGAGCGCAAAAATAATCCATCTTCACCCATGGAGGGCTCTGCGCAGACTGAGCTCTGCAGGGTGGGGGAAGGCTTGTAAAGCCTTGCCACGCCCTGCAATTAGGCTAAGAACACTCTGATTGGTGGGTTTAAGCCAATCAGAGTGCTCTTTGTCATTTTACACAGCGTGGGAAAATTCAAAAGAACTTTCCCACGCTGTGTAAAATGACACAGAGCACTGTGATTGGATGTATACAGGAAACACACTTGTGAAACTGTGAATCCCCACCCTTGGTACCACCGACTATCCGACTCATCCAATGCATCACACACCTCTAAGGCTACTTTACTTATTCATAAATCACTGTCATTTGAACTACTCAAACTCACCACAGATAGTCAAGGAAGGTATCTCATATTACTGTGTATGATTAATATGATGTACACCATTATGAACCTATACAGCTCAAATTCCCAACAACAATTTCTGAAAATTGTCCTCTAGAGGAGATGCCCCATGGAGACTAAACAAGTCGTTATTACGTGATGACGCATTCTAACAAACTATAGATTAAACACTCACTGAATACTTCACACTTAACAGAGGCGGAGGGAAGTCCCCCTTCTCGGTAATGCAAGCACATAAATTATTCATGCAAGGCTTTTTTCTAAGCAGAGGATCCTTTTTTAAAAAACAATCCCGCGAAGAATACACAGCTCTGCTATGAGACCTCCGAGAGGCAACCACGAAACGCTGCATTCAACCTACTGACGCATTACAGACCACTATTGACCACCTCACAAAGAGCATTAAAGGACCACTGTAGGCACCCAGACCACTTCAGCTTAATGAAGTGGTCTGGGTGCCTGGTCAAGCTAGGGTTAACCCTTTTTTTTTTTTTAAACATAGCAGAGAAACTGCTATGTTTACACTGAGGGTTAATCCAGCCTCTAGAGCCTCTAGTGGCTGTCTCATTGACAGCCACTGGAGGCGCTTGCGTGTTTCTCACTGTGAAAATCACAGTGAGAAGACGCCAGAGTCCATAGTTAAGCATTGTAAATGCTTTCCTATGAACTGGCTGACTGAACGCACGGCTCCTGCCGCGCATGTGCATTCAGCCGATGACGTCGCTAGGAAGAAGGAGAGGAGAAAGAAAGCTCCCCGGAGCCTGGTGGGAGGGGGAACCTGAGGGTGGGGGCATCCTCAGGGCACTATAGTACCAGGAAAACGAGTATGTTTTCCTGGCACTATAGTGGTCCTTTAAAGACCTATCCATGGAAAAATATTATACATACTAAAAATCAGAGAATACCCCCAAAACAATAAAACAGGCAAACTCCTCGCAACCAGATTATGTAAAAAACAAGAGCACACAAAGATCCCTTATATCCTAACCAACAAAGGGACTAAACTCTACAATCCACAAGACATAGCTGACGAACTTGCACAATACTATACAAAACTATACAACTTAAAATAGGATACCATTCTACACCAACCCACAAACAAAGAATTTTACCAATTTCTATCAAAACTCAAAATGCCCAACCTTTCCCAGGCCCATAAAGATGACCTTCAATCTTTGATAACAGAACAATAAATTACTGATACAATGCTGGCACTACCACTAGGGAAGTCCACAGGAACAGACAGTTTCCCATCACCACCCTCCCTAAGTCCGGGAGATGCTGAATAAAGCGGGAAAACCTACGACCTATCTCCCTACTAATCACTGATATAAAAATATTCACAAAAATATATGCAAATGGGTTGTCCACTATACTCCCTAGTCGGTTTTGTGAAAGGTAGACAGGGTATCAATGGTACACAAAAGGTGCTAGACTTGATGCAGATTTTGTGGGGTGGGAGGGCAGTGTATTTCTCTCGGTAGCTGTGAAAAAAGCATTTTCTCGTGGTACTGCAAAAGTATATATAGTTACATAGCTGAAAAAAGACTTGCATCCATCAAGTTCAGCCTTCCTCACATATGTTTTTGCTGTTGATCCAAAAGAAGGCAAAAAAACCCAGTCTGAAGTGCTTCCAATTTTGGAACAAACTAGGAAAAAAATCCTTTTTGACCCCAAAATATCAGATGTCTCCTTGGATCAAGCAGCTATTACCCCACTAATTAGAAATTATATCCCTGTATGTTATGTTTTTTGCAAGTATTTATACAATTGCAGTTTAAACATCTGTATGGACTCCACCTCTTAAAAACCACCTCTTCAGGCAGAGAATTCCATATCCTTATTGCTCTTACTGTAAAAAAACCTTTTCTTCTCCTGAGATGAAATCTCCTTTCTTCCAGCCTAAATGTGTGACCTCGTGTCCCATATATAGCCCTGTTTATGAATAGATTTCCAGATAATGGTTTGTACTGGCCATGAATATATTTGTATAATGTTATCATATGCCCTCTGAGGCGCCATTTTTCCAAACTAAAGAGATTTAAATTTTTTAACATTTCTTTGTAACTAAAATGCTCCATTCCTTTTAACAGTTTTGTAGCTCGTCTCTGCACTTTTTCTAGGCCATGATATCCTTTTTTAGAACAGGTGCCCAAAATTGCACAGCAAATTTCCCGGGAAAACTTGTGTCAGCGGTGAAGGCTTTGTATAGCAACTCTGCTGCCAAAGTAGCAGGTTTCACCTCTGTCCCCTTTGACATTTCCAATGGCTCTAGGCAGGTCTGCTCACTCTCGCCCTTACTACAGGAATACAGCCTATGCTCGTATTACAAATTAAATGTGGTCAAAACAGAGGCTATGGCTATTAACATACCGAAACAAACACTACAGAGCCTAAAATCCCAATATTCATTTGATTGGAAAACACACAAACTCACATTCCTAGGGGTAGCCTTTACATCTGCCATTCAACATATATATAAAGCAAACCATGTTCGGCTTTTCGGGGAAATTTAAATAACGCTAGGTTACTGGCGAGGATAATGCCTTTCATGGATAGGTCGCATGGCAGCTATTAAAATGATCACAGTCCCCATATTTCAATATTTATTTAGAACCCTTCCTATCTGTCTCCCCACTTCATATTTTAAAGAGGTGCAAACTCTACTTAACCAATTTATTTGGGCATACAAAACCCCTAGTGTAACTGCAAATACACTTTACCAAACAAACGCGGATGGCAGGATGAACGCACCAAATGTACACATATACTTTCAAGCAGCTATCATTATTAGCCTAGTACCCAAGCCAAAAACAAACCACCTCAATGGGTAACCTTAGAAAATGCGGTAATGCGGGAACACACACTTTTGGTGTGTTTACCCAAACATATCAGATCCAATAAACTTCCAATATTGCCCACCACAGCTACAATCATCCACATCTGAGACCTTAACAAACACAAATGCTGCTCGGGGGGGCATGTACTCGCAAGCCATGACAGTTTCAACCTTACATTCAGTAATACTAAACTTCAATTACAGTATATGGGAATGCCACAAAGTACACTTTATGCATCAATTTTATCAGAACGGCAAAACATTAAGTTTTCAGGAAATGCAACAGATGTATAGTCTCCCATCAATAGCACAATTCTCATATATACAAATACAATTTTTGGTTAAAAAAAAGCAAAAAACGAAAATGTACATGAGCACCGGCTGACAAGCTTTGAGAAAATAATGCTAAAAATTACACCAGCAGTAAAAATTATTTCAACACTCTATTCTAGCAATCTGATATTCAAATTAAATATCAGATACCCCTTTTGTCAGGGCATGGGAAAAAACTTCAACATTACTCTTAATAAGCGTGCATGGCAGGAGATATTCCAAACTCCTAAAAAAACTCACACTAAGTGTTAATCATATAGAGATATAATGAAAGATACTATATCGCTGGCATCTAGTACCAACGCGCCTAAAACAAATTTACCCAAACTCCTCAGACCAGTGCTGGAGATGCACAGTTGGAACTGGCACCATACTCCATATTTGTTAGGACTGTCCACAATTAACAATGTACTGGACAGCATTGTCAAAACTGATCCATTCTAGCTCAGGGATTAGTTAACCTAAAACACCTGATTGCATGCTACTCTATAACTACCCGCCTAACCTGCCTAAAGCAACAAAATTTCTCATATACCATATTAATGTCACGACACCTGCTATGATAAGCAGAAAATGGTGCAGACCTGAAACACCGACCTTAATGCAGTGTATCAAATATATAGAAACCACACAACTCTATGAATCCTCGTGCAGAGCGTCATCTCAAACTTAGGCAAAATTCTGGAGCTCTGCCTGGCACATGTGGAAAGTCTCTAGAGAACATACTCCCCTATAATCTTAATTAATACTAAAAAATGTTTGAAGTCTCGCCAGCCAAGTTCAAAACTAACAGTTCAGTTATTTGTTCATACCTGTCCCTAATGGTACATAATTGTAAAGAGCCGATCACACTATGACATGACATCAATTATGCTAGAAGTCCATACATTGTCATTCCTAGGTGGTTATTCCTACTGGAACCCACTGACATACTGACTGTATAGATCTGACTGACCACGCTAAGGTGGATAATGAACAGGAATAGTAAAATGCTAAAACCCTACCACCAGGGCCACCATCAGGGCATGACAACCATAACGGTTGTCATGGGCCTGGCGGTCCTGGGGGGCCTGGACTACTCTAGGAGTCCCGGGCCCGACATTTAATAAGTGCACATATTGATAGTGATTATCACTATCTATATGTGCACCTGTGGGCCCCGGCTACCTGTACAACATAGACGGGGCCAGCCAGCACCATCTTAACTTTCCAGCAGCTCCTGTGTCTGAAACTCTTGCGAGCTCTCACGGGTCGCGAGAGTTACAGACACAGGAGCTGCTGGAAAGTTAAGATGGTGCTGGCTGGCCCCGTCTACATTGTACAGGGGCTGGCTCCCTCCACCATACCACCGGACCACCAGGGATGTAATCTCCCCCCTCCCTAGCCTGGTAAGAAGCAGGGAGGGGGGAATCAAATTCTGTGTTAAATGTAAATACCATCAAAAAGGTTCTCCCCCATTGCAGCCCCCTATTTTACAGATTTACACTAAAACCACAACACAAAAACTACAACACAAAGACACACTGCCATACACCATACACACACTAAAACCACAACACACACACTGCCATACACCATGCCATACACCATGCACACTAAAACTACAACACACACACAGCATTCATCATACACACACTAAAACCACAACACACACTACATTCACCATACACACACTAAAACAACAACACACACACTGCATTCACCATACACACACTAAAACCACAACACACACACTGCATTCACCATACACACTACATACAACCACTACATTCATTATACAAATATGCAATCTGTATCCATTTTACACACCACACAGACAGGGCATCTTTGTGGGCGGACTCAGAATGGGCCCTGTGGGCAGACTCGGGGGCAGGTCCAGGGGGCCCAGACTTTGAACTGTGTCAGGGGCCCCAAAATTTCTAAAAGCACTTCTGCCTACCACACAAAACTCCTAGGACAAACAAGCAAGTCTTGGCAAACTCTCAGTTGAAAGATAGCAAATATTCTATGAATACCCCAGTCCATACACTTACAAACACCAAATGACATTAGACCAACAGTATCGCAGGGGACAATATCAATAACCTTATGAAGTTTAAATCAAGGGCAAAGATGTATGCAATATTATAACCCACACATTATTCTTGCTCTCCATCCCTTACCCTGCTCCCACCCCCATTCCCCCAGTATCCCCCCTTCTATGCTCTCTCAACTGTATAAAAAAACATTAATGTTGTTGCACATTCTTGTACTATATATGTCAAATAATACAGTATGTTAATGTGAATGATTATCTCAAGCAAGACATACAACCTTTCACACACTGTGCAAGATATGAACTTGAAAATTGCATAATAAAAAAAAAAAATGTGTCTACTATCCAAACAATTGCAGTCCCTGAATTTTTCAATGTTAGTATTAGGAGACAGAATAAAAAAAAATTGTCGTTACAAATATAGGTAAACTGGTTTTTGTATCAAATATATTATAATAAATTGTACTTGTGTAGAGCAAAAATCACTTCCTATATAACAAATTCTGTAGAGTAATGTATTGCAAAAAAAGAAAAAGAAAAAAAACTAATTAGCATGAGTAAAAGACGTGTGAGCAAGTTTTTGAAACAGTACATTGCATGCCACTTTCAAGTGACTTCATAAAAATAGGAAGCAGAACCTTAGACTAGACATGAACATTTTTGTCTTTTTTACGTAATGAAGACAGAAGCACAGGAAAACACAGTGTCATCTTACTGGCTATTGCTTCTTATTAAATGATATTAGAGACCTTCAAGCACAAAAATACAGCTCGCTACTGAAAAACAGACTTGGAATCGCAAATAGGTAATGTTATGTTATGTATTATAGAGTGATGGATAGTATTACTACTGGTTTGTAATTATATGTGAAATAGTTAATAGCACAAAATGCTAAATACACATGATTTGTAGTGTTAAGGTTGTATACTTATTACATATGCAAATAAGACATTTTATACAATTGATTCGTTGTTTTATAAAATATCAGAAATGGTTTCTTAGGCATTCTGCTCACTACCAGATAGTATAATAGTATAAAGTAAAACAATGAAAGAAAAGATCTGACTTCTAAATTAGAAACCATAGATTAATAACTTGTTATAGCATAATAACCATGTCCTTCACTGAATTTTATTTATTTATGAAATATAGCAATTATGGGTTACAGATGGGAGATATTTAGACTTGCTGAAACAAAAAGTAGCAGAGAAGCCTGCCTGTGGACTTTAATCTAGCATTTGCAGCACTTTTGTGCTAGCTAGCTCTATGGATTAAGGTCAATGAGCTTACAATCTAAACAGGTAATATGCATTAAGATGATTAATGATTTACTGTAAATGAACTCCTGTTATTACATAGCCATGTCATTCTTGTTTGTATAGACAGACAGTTAAGGATGAGGGGATATGATGTTATTAATCTTCAACAGTTAAAAACATGGTTTTAAAAAGAGATTTTATAGTATTTTAAAGGAACACTCCAAACACCATACCCACTAGAGCTTTCTGTAATTGTTATGGTGCCAGGAGTTCCGTGGTGCCCACCCAACCCCCCTCCAATATCAAAGTGTTTTAGAATGTTTGATTGACTTCTTTCCAGGGGTTCGGCAGACCAAACTTTCTACCTCCATTAGTTACTATGGAAAGCAGGATGCTCCTAAACAGGAGCTTTCATTAGCTCTGCTGACCTTAGCACTTGAATGCAGGGCTAGCTCTTTGACTAAGAGTGTCAGTTATTTACATTTATGAGTTAAGCCCTACAACACCGAACTTGTCTCGTTATCAAGCTTCTGACTTTCCATAAGAAGTATTGCATATGGGAAGTTGTTAGTTAGTAAGCGGTGTGACTAAGTGCATTGGATGGGTGCCAATGCACTCCTGGCACTATAACGATTACAATGTGCTGTGGTGCTGGAGTATTCCTTTAACACTTGCATTTTATCAGTTAAAGTTTTTTCTGTGTCTGTAAAATAATGTCTAAAATTGTTTTGAGAAGTAAGGGCAGCAAAGCATGGTTTACAGATAGAAAGGTTCTGGACTTTGTAAGAGTGGAAACAAAGGTTAGTGATGGGAAAAATGCATATTCCTTTATGCATTGCCACAGCTGTAATATGTGCAGATGTATGCTGTGACCCTAATACATGATCTTACATACAGGGCAGGGTTGGATGGCTAAGTACAGATACAGACATCAAGCAACACAAACTAGAGGTGTGGCGGTAGAAAGAACTGTGTCTCTGCTATCAGATCTATAAAATATGTATATTAATAAGAATAATACAGCAGAGTAATAATTACTTTACAAAAATATAATGTAGTTTTCTCCTGCATCTTCTCAACTTCAAAATTGGTTCTAGTAAGTTGAGAATTGATTTTTAGAATTATTCTGCAAAATCACCAATTTCAAAAAAACAAAACTACAACTCAGCTGTATGGATTTATTCCATACTTTGGAAATAGTTATACTTTCAGGGTCATATATTAAAGTGAGAATTTATAGTGAATACAGAAACATTCTCTAAGTCATCTTTGCTTTGTACCGAAGGGCAAGCTATTGAGTTTACTCTAAGCTTTTGTCTGTTCTCAGAGTTATCATTCTTATTTTTTTGACTTTAATGCATTTACTTGGCTCACCCCAAGTTAAAAGGGTAATCCAGACGTGGAGCCTGTGCTCCCTGTGCCTTGAGGGATATCGGCTACACTTCACGAGGCCCAAAAGAAGGCCGAAACAATAGTCAGGGGTTTCTGTATCTCTCATGCAGAGGGAACTTGCTGGCATTTTGGATCTGGACTGCCCGTACGGGTGGAACCAGTCTGATATGCTTCATATATGTTCTCTCTGTAATGGCACAAGTGAGCAAAAACTATTTTGAGACCTAATCGGGATGTATCGAAGGGCAAGCTATTGAGTTTACTCTAAGCTTTTGTCCATTCTCAGAGTTCTCATTCTTTATTTTTTGCTTCAAGTTCAGCTGCACTGCCCTTACATTTGAAATGTACTATGTATTCACTTGGAATTATCACTTTAGTAAATAAACCTGTTATAGTTCTAAATATTATAATGTGTATGTATCTAATGTGTTCGAAAATATTGCAGAACATCTCTGTAGTGAATTTATTCTTGTTACTTTTATCCTCCAGATATGATTGTAACCCTAAATACTCTCTTTTCCTGCGCATTCCTAATTGGTGAGTATGTATTTGGAAATAAGGAGTCACCTTCCAACATATTACATATTAAACAGACACTCTAGTGCCCAAAAACCAAAAAAAAAAACAAAAAAAAAAAAAAACACTATTTAGTACAAATACCCTCAATGAAAACATGCATGCATTACTTATGCATTTTATTCATTGGGGATATATCTAAAAATAGCTTGCATAGCTGCAAATCTCCCCTTCTAATGTCGCACAGTCTTTCTGTATCTATCCAATCAAACTACCAAATGCAGTTCAATGAGAAGTCATTGCAAGGCCTCTTGACCTTTAGCTACACTGAACTAAACAAACCAGGAAGTAACAGGACAGATTGTCTGATTGGAAGCTAGTGTGTATAACAAGCAGAGGTGGCTCTAGACTTTATGAGGCCTTAGGTGAAACTCAAACATAAGGCCCCACTAACAACAAAGTAAAAAATAAATAAAGTTGCAATACATGCACACTGTCACATATACACATTGATGCACTATTTACCTGTGTTTGTGCCTGAGAGTGTGTCTGACAGAGAGTATCCTTGTGTGTGTGAGTGGATGTCACTGTGAGCCTGTTTGTGTTTTTATCTGGGACCGTATGTGTATGGGGTAGCTGCTTGAAGTGTGTTGTGTGTATGGGGGGGTCTGCCTGTGGCCTTTTTACATTGTGTTTATGGCAAAACAATGTTTCCTGACTGTGTGTGTATGATGAATGTCTTCAGCTGGTGACTGTGACAAGGTGAGTAAAGGGGTACCAGTGGCAGGGAAAGTGTGACAGGCTAAGGGGATCAAGGGACAGGGGGGGGGGGTGAGAGAGAATGAGGGAGTATGACATGGTTTGATGAGGAAGTGTGACAGGGCAAGTGGAGGTAAGTGTGTCAGGGCAATTGTGACATGGTAGGAGGGATGAGTGTGACAGGATTAAGGGGGGTTAATGTGACAGGGTGAGTGTGGCAGAGTGAGGGCAGGTGAGTTTGGAGGGGGTGAGGTTATCAGGATTAGGAGTGGTTAATGTGAGTGTGGATGCATGAAGAGGCTGACAGTGTTAGGAGGTGACGGCAGTGTAGGGAGGGGTGACAATGTGTGGGGAGGTGATAGTATAACCACCTCCTGGACAGCTCACTAAGAATGCAGCTTCACAATGAATGTAAAATGAATGCTATCCAGGAGGTGGGAGGGTCTGGGAGGGAGGGTCTGCTGCTGATTGGCTGGAATGTGTCTGCTGACTGTGAGGTACAGGGTCAAAGTTTACTCTATGATGAGTCCGTGGCGAACCGTTTGTGGCGAACCGTTTGTGGCGAACCGTTTGTGGCGAACCGTTTGTGGCGAACCGTTCGGCGAACCGTTCAGGACATCACTATACAGGAGTCTTTATAAGGGGGGATAAGCAGGGGATTTGTGGAAGTTGTGGAAGGGGGTTGCGGGAGTTTTGTAGACGGGGCAGTACAGGATTTGTAGAAGGGGCAGGGCAGAGGTTTTGTAGGAGCGGCGGGGCAGGTCAAGGGTTTTGAAGGAGGGGCTGACAGCGGTTTTGCAAAGTTTACAAATTGTAAAAAAAAAAAAAGAAAGAAAACCTTTAACATTTTTTACAGGTTTTTTTTTGGGGGGGGGGTAGGGGTGGGGCCAAGCACAGGATCCGCCCCGGGTGCCAAATGCTCTAGGTATGCCCCTGATCTTACATCTTATATACATTTACAGTAGCTATTTATGTAGTTAAATATACCATAAAGAAAAGTGTATTTTGTTGACAGAAGTTTATTTGTGGGTGCATTCAGTGAGATTTAAGTTTAGGTTAGAAAAAAATCTAGCGCATTACTGAATATTTAAATTTTTATTTCAATAACATAGTATTGTTTTTACTTCCAATTGGTATAAGAATCAGTCCTGCAGTAACCTAGGATGTCAGGTAAATATCTGCACTTAATAGCTGACTTGAACACCTCCCCACATAACACATATCTCTAAATTCCAAATAAATATAATGAATGCTATGTAGAAAATTAACTCCTGTCCTTGATATTTTAAATTCTTTTCTTGTTTGGATCATTTTACTGGCATAAATAACCAGGTCAATAAACTGGTGGTGAGTTTGTGATCAGTTTTCAAAGTTTAAGACCAACAGTATTTGAGTATGAGAGAAAGGCATGGCTTTAGCCAAGATAGGAGTCAAACTAGTTAGCTCTTCATCACTGCTAATCTCACTTGGAGCATTTCCCATTCTGGCCTCAGATTGGGCAGATAGGCCCAGTTGTTGTTTCCAGGCATAATATGAGGAGAAATAGACCCAGAAAATGCATCTCTGCACTTTGTGAAATACCATCCCAACATGCTGAATGCTAAGAAACCTACTGAAGGCATGATGCATTTCACTTCAAATCAATACTCTTCATAGATTTCAGAATAGTTTTAAAGTGTTACTCCATGTTCCATGACGTGTTTTTTAAAGTGGTCATTGTATTTGGAGTCATTATATGTAGAGTTTCCCAATGAAAAGCTGCAAAAAGAGAGTTATTTAATGATTCTGACTATGGTCCAACTCCACCACCAGCAGCATCATTAGTACGCACCTAGATGATCAGTGGGACCAGCAAACAGCTTCTGCAGCACTTCACACATTCGATTACAGGAAGCCTGTCACCAGACGGGACCCAGTGAAGAGAGCAACCGCTGGTATACTGTTGACCCAATACCTGGGGAGGTGCCAGGATACTCCATGTATCACAGAAAAAAAGGATATTGGGGGTCACACCCAGAACATGCATTTCTCAGCAGTGAAGCTGCTGCAAAGATCAGAATATATAACACACACAAAAAAATACAGTTTTATATCATAATTAAAATCACCTATCTTACCAAACAAATATGGGAATTTAGTTTCATATTGTGTTAATCTTACCAATCATATTGTCATATTGTGTTAAGCCCACCACTAAGCTACAGTACCCCTAGCTCCTTTGTGTGTCTCTTTCCAACAAGCTCCTTTGCGTGTCTCTTACTCTACCTGCTGCTCTATGTGTCTCTTTCTACCCTCAGCCCTTTCATGTGTCTATTACTTCCTCCAACTCCTTTGTGTGTCTCAGCTCCCGAAGACTATCTGTGAGTCTCTTTCTCCCCCTCAGCCCCTCTGATTGACTTGCCCCCACGGTCCACGTGGGTTCTGAGGTCTGATAGCGGATTTGGATCCTCTAGAAACTAGGAGGAACTAAAAGGAACTAACATACTTAGCTTTATTTTAACTCAGGACTAGTCCATATGCACATAAAATTAAACATGCTGGGATATGGGTGGATTGGCGCTAGTTATAAAAGTGCAAGTGCAGCTACCCTAGTGTCCATAATCACTCACAAGACACTAAATACAATATCACAAATAATACAAAATACAAGGTGCGCAATAGTAATCACCAACACACAGTGAGATATACTTATTACCGGAAAATCCTGATGGTAGACCTCTGATTAGTCTGTGAAACAGAAAAGCTCACAGCAAAATCCTGTTTCATCACACAGAAAAATTAGAAAACAGAGGTAATGGGTCACTAACACTTTCCAGAGCCACATATAGCAGGCTCTGGCTATGTTGGCATATCAGTTAGTAAAGCTGCTTTGATGTAATTTTGGTCCTGTAGCTCCTTCTTCCACAAACTTAGTAGGGAGACTTGAAGTATATTAAAGGGACACTATAGCCACCAGTGCAACTACATGTATTCATGACCCTATAGGGTTAACACCATCATCTAGTACCCCTGGGCCCCCATGCCTCCATAAATATAGTAACAATTTTACTGTATTCAAGCCAGAAGCTGTAGATCTGCATGCTGCTTTCCTAATAAAAAATAAATAAAAAAAACAGTCTGCTGACATCATCAGAAGTGGTGGCCTTATCCAATTACAATGCTTCCCATAGGATTGGCTGAGACTGACAAGGAGGCAAATCAGGGGCAGAGCCAGCATGATTTAAACATAGCCCTGGCCAATCAGCATCTCCTCATAGAGATTATTTGAATCAATGAATCTCTATAAGGAAAGTTTAGTGTCTGCATGCAGTGTGAGGAGATACTGAATCACAGGATGATCGTGCACAGCAGATCTGAGTGGATGCAGGTATATTATATTGCAAAGACTGTTACTTTTCTCTTACAAACTTTCCTATTGCAGACATCAGTGACGTCACTGCATACCAAGGAGGCTTGACCCGCATACTATGTCCGCGATACGAGGCTTGCACCTCATACGTTTTATCTGTCAGTGATAATTACGTAGAGGTAACGAGCACTTTCTATTGAAGATACCAGTGACGTCACCTCACACCAAGGAGGCGTGACCCGCATACTATGTCCCTGATACGAGGCTTGCACCTGTTAGTGGTAATTACGTAGAGGTAACGAGCACACCTGACATTTGTTCTTTCATTAAACAAGCTATTTAAAATTGGACCGGCGAACCCGGGATACACATTAATTTCTTCTACCCAGCTGAGGAAACTACACGCTGTAGTGAAACGCGTCCTGGGATTTCTACACGGACATAGTTCCCTTTTTATTGTTTTATTACAGTTTAGTGTATTTAATAAAGTATTTTACTTTTAACCCTGGTGGCCAGCATCATCTTACACTAGAGGGAGTGTAGTCCCTCACTACACATTGCACGACTGCAGAGCCATAGGGGCTCTAGGTTTGTAAGTACATTTCTTACTTACCACTTCTCTTATTTGAACATCAACTGTGCTACTATTGTGGTTTTTTCCAACTTTCCTAGGACCACACACAGATTTCTCCATAGGGGTGGGTCGCCGTAACGGATCCGAAGCCAACTTCACCAGAGCTAGGTTTTTAGCTCTATGTTTGTGAGTGTTCCTAAGATTATTTTTATTATTTATATTGTTTAAAAGGTTTTACACTATATGGGTATTTCCTTTGTATTATTTCAGAGTTTGATTCCATCTAGTCCACTACATTATATTGATTGTATCTGGATGTAGATTACTATTTATCATTAAGGT